CGTGCTAATGTGCCCGAACCGTAGAAATCGATATGCATCGTATCTGGTAAAAACACATCAAGGAGTTCAGTCAATGAGTTCCGTTAAAGCCGCTGTTTTCGAAATGACGATATATACTATGCCTGCTTGATTTTCTATTCTTTGAATAGTAAGTAACGTTGTATAAACTATATCAGTTTATTCATTATTTCACCTTAGATAACGCCCATCGCAGTATCCGACTTTCAAGTAAACACACATTATAATTTACGCACGATATAAACGTTGTATATCGCGCAGTGCGACAACTACTGTGCAATAAAATATTAATACAATTATTATACATCTGTCACCGTAACGCCTTAAATTACAGCGTGCCGTAATTTTGCGGTATTTTACGGGGTATTTTCATCCTACCATATTAGAAAATGCGAATTCCAAACATGGAATGACTACGCGCGTAAGCGTCCTCTAATAATAAAAACAAACATGGCTGCCATCAAGTTTCGACCGGACTTCACACAAAGAAGTTCGCTGATTCTGTCCTAATTCTGGAGTTCGGCATTCCCATGATGTATCCGTCGCACTGACCTTCGCTGCCCGTCGGTCGAAACTTCCGCTGTACTGTCTTCGTGCATACTTTGAGGTATCCTCGTAATAACCTCATATTATATAAATCGAAATAACTTAGCTAAATAGAGAAAACTGGGCCATAATATTATAAATAAACAATTGTGACTAAAACAAACATATTGCTATATAACTATCGTAAATAAGTTGAATCTTTTTTTAATGTTATGCATTGCCCCCATGTTGGTATCAGATTTGTGTAGTGGTTTTCAATGACTCACGGAATTCGCCAAAGGGGTTCAATCTATTCATTATTTCTTGTGCAAATTCTATCTGTATATGTATTTCTAATAAGGCACCATGGTGTTAACTGGACATTCCTTCAAATCTATATATATACCTGGCACGCTTTGGTAACGGTGGGCTAATTTTGTATATCTTTTTAATATTCAACAGTGCCATACTTATTGGCCTGTTTTAAATTAACACACTTCTACTGAGAGCCACTGGCAATATTTTGCTCTCAATTCGTGATTCATGCGATACTTGTCGAACAGTGTAAGCATGTGTGCATAAATGGTATGTATATGAAATGACATCGAGCACAAATTAACTCTATAATACAAAAATGCCATGGGGTTTGACATAATATATTTAGGGGCAGCAATCGACATTTTGATATACAGTAATAACAGTTACTCGAATTATATTCTTATTAAGATCTTTAAGAAATCTTTTTTACACTAACTACATTGTAACTCTGATGAGCAATTGTGTGTTCAGGTCACCACGCCACTACAGCGATAGCGTCCGTAAAGCATGAGACGGAATGGAATGCACGAGTGCGTCATTTAATCTCACCCAACTCAATAATCCGCAGCAATCTTAGTTACTAGACCGTTATACACCGACGTAGATCCCAATACAAGACATATTATGTTAATTACTTGATACATATGCATTACGATATCAATAAATATTACAAATACCACACTGTGTTACTCCTGAGATAGAGTTACAAAATCTACAACATTTATATTTGCATCTAAATCGTGAAGCGGATATATATGCGGTATTTATAGCGCGTCTAAACTAATTCCATGTAATGAGATCGATTCAGGTATTAAAGGCTCTCTGTTTAATTTAGGAGACATATTGATATTTTAAATAAACTTTGGGTAATCATGTAACCATCGGAGATTGTAGTACTGCATTGCAAATAGTGTGTTATTGATGGGACCATCAACTCACTTTAGGGCTGCTCAAATGATGTACAGTGAAAATGGTTTAATCAAACACAGACACTGACACGGACACAGTTGGATGTGAATGATGAGAGTCAATTTCGTGATTAGGTCTAGTATATATGGCTGTGGCACGACGAATTGTAGTTGCATTAGCGTTGGTTAATTCCCGATGTCCGTTAAAGCCAAACCGAAGATCGATATAACTACGGTAAAAAAAAACATTGTCGCCTAACATACTTACATTGGCAAGGCACGTAAACTCTCAAACGCGTTGTCGCGTTGTCAGAGTCACGAAAAGGGCATATTTTAAATTCCATAATTGTATGAGGTTATATCAGATATATTCAGAGAATTTGTACAAATCTCAAACATTGAGACATCAACAGAATCTTACATGGGATATTGTACAACACATCATTACAGTGGCTCCAGACACGTGACTAATCAACCAACGTCTCAAATTACACGGATCTGATGAGCCTATAAATAATTTGTTTCCCGTGTCTGTGAGTGAGATTTTTTTTAGTCTACTGAAACTTCGTCTTGCATATGCTTTTTGACGTTTAATCTAGCACTTTTGTAAATTTTGACATTAGGATTAATAATGCCAAGATTTTATGAAATAATATTGTGATTTGAAGTTACAAATGAATATACACATGTCACGTGTTCAGGACGACTCGCGATTTTCATTTTGTTATGTAAGCCACTTATGATTATACTCTGAACACTGCTAACAAAGAATGTAACAAACAACCATATCGAAAATAGAGCAAATGCATCCTACTTTTATTTCCATCGATTTAGAAACGGAAAGCTGAAATACGTCGAAACTTTCGCCTTTCGCGACTTCTATAGATAAGCATACACAAATGGCACTCTTTTACGTCATATGGTGTCTCTTGCCAGCAGTGTTATCAACACTGTATGCTAGACTAATACTGATACAAATGCAGGACACGTGGGCCTATCACTGCTCTAATTATCGTAACGTCATAATGATACTGATTACATCCGTAAGGGCAACCCCGAAAGTGATTGCATCGCGTCCAATGTATTAGGTCAAGGGTTGTAGACTGGTTATCTGGTTGATTTATATATGTGTAAGAGGAATGTCTTTCCTGATGTATGTGAGCGAACAGAGAAAGATTGTTCTATCTTATTATTTCTGTGTCTTGAGCATGGTATTTCAAATATCAACGTTGTAAGCCTGTTATTAGTTTGCATTTTCATGCCGTTTAAACTTGTCGGTTTTATTCTGACTATCTGCGAATTTTATCTCCACAGACTGGAGTGCCGCTACAAGCACTGAACGAGCACTGATGGTTGTTTAACAACGTATAATCTGGCAATATCCATATACCCGATACCGTGGCCACCAGGGACGCTACGTTGGTAGATATGGGATTTATTTAAAGCACCGTGGGGAGACATTGCCGTTACTACCCCAGGCTGTTAGGTTTCGTCATGGTTTTCAGATAAGAAGGGAGGGACCTTCACGGAAAGAGGCGGTTATTGCTCAAGCACTGTGTTTTCGTAACGACCCCTACACGCGATATGCTAAACACCGCACCGAAATTTGTCTCTCCAAATTGCATCACCACACACGACGATTTGTGTTGTCATAGCAACGATGGTGCAAGTTAACGCGACTGCGGGAGTTTTAGACGACGATACGGACGTGCTGTACCCTGACACGTTCGTCACCGTGCTGTCCATAGTCCTTATAATTGAACTCTTGGTTGGTGTGACGCTAAACGTATTAGTGCTTGTGGTGTATCATTTACCGCACAAATCTGTCAACACAGTTAGCGATCTGTTTATTACAAACATGAATTTTGTTGATGTGCTGATATGCACGATATCGATCACAATGAGCGTCACGTTGCTATTGACAACGTACAATGTGCCTCTCTTTTGTTATTTCCACGAGGCCACCGTGTCGTTTGCCAGCACCGCGTCAGCTGTGAACGTTCTAATCATATCGCTGGATCGCAGAGATCGGATTCTCCGACCGCTGAACCGAAGATTCACGAACAGAAACGCCATATGGATCATACTGTTTACATGGCTCATCGCGATCGGCGGATTCTGCAGCCCGTTCTTCGGAATCAACGTCGCCGATTTTCGACATGCATCGGAAATAAGTGGCCATACGCGTAGAAAATGCTACTACTGGTTCAACACATCGCGTCGTAACTATTATTACGAGCTTTATCATGTGCCAATATTCCTGCTAGCGTCATTAGTGATGATATTCGCGTATTACAGTATTATCAAAGTCGCACGTAAGGGGCGCACTATACAGAACGCTTTTCTGCAGGCAACTCTCACGATGCAGTCAGCAGTCACTGCGAAAGTAGGAAAAGTTAATAACCACAGAGATCCTGAGAAACGCGTTTCCATGACAACGACAATCATCATTACAACATTCATAATTTGCTGGGGCCCCCACACGTTTACAAGTATCGTTATTCTGTGTACGGAGCCTAGCCCCTTTTTTGAAATATTGCAACTGTGTTTGTTGTCGCTAGGATACACGACGACATTGATGCACCCTATTCTATACGTGTTCATGAGACGGAATTTCCGAGCTGCAATCAAAACAGCGTGCTGTGGTAAACACTGCCACAGATCCCGTGTTGTGCCCCACGCTGTTCCCAATCGGAATCCAACTTCCTCTAGACCGGAGTTCCCGGAACTAGTTGAAAACGATTCTCTCAAACCCGGAGGACGCACTGAAGAGACAATTCCAGTACACAAGGAAGTCCGGGGTGAATGACGCGTTGACGTCATCGCACATGACAATGTAATTACAATCAGTCACAACGAGGTTTTCAGTGGACTGAAAATGTCTTTTGTTGGTGTAACGTGATCTATAACAATATACTATTATTCGTATTTGTTGACATAAATAAAATAAATAAATTCTATTTATATTTACAGTTATTTATGTTATGATAATGACATGCAATTATTTACATGTATTAGGTGAAGTGTTATATTTATGATACACGTTATTGAGGTTTATATTTAAAGCGTTATTTATTAAATATTTATTAAATTACCAGAATTCAATCGACTGTCTTTAACCTAATATGACTTCATGGAATTTAATCACGTGTTCACGTAACAAACATGTTGCTCTTCAATTATGGAAGTAAACATGGAAAAGTGAATGTTATATACATTATAGTTGCTATGGCAACCAAGCAACTCAAATCGCCTATGTATGTACAGAGTAGTCGCTGGTGTAATCGTCCGCAGTTTTCAATACTCATACACAATACGCATATATACCGTCCTGCTTATGTTGTGTAGTATACGGGTACCGGATAACGTGCACTTAAAAAGGCGAGGTACAAACGATGCGACGAGCACTTTGGGGACGGTCATCGTCGCCAGTATTAAGTATTAAAGCAATCGGGTTGGGAGAAAATAGAAATTTAATTATATCGTCACGACATAAATACATTTGTTTTAGGACCACCTATAGTGAAATGTACATACCGAGTATCAAACCAATAGGGCTGGTACTTGTAAAAAGAAGTCAAAAAAGTCAGTTTTAAATATTTGTCCAAAGAGAGAATTAATGAAATCATCTTGAAATGAAAAAACGTTTTATCTACATATTTCCACACTTCTGAAAAAAATAATTACATCACCCTTCATTGACGTCACTCTTTGATGTGCGTGATGTGACGTCATTCCACGCACATAATGTTATTGTATTTATATATTTAACACTTTATTTAAAGAGAGTAGGCCAAAATACAATAAAGTAAATTTTCACTGGGTCCTCTGTAGAAGCAAAATACATTAAAAATTCAACAATATACACACTATTGACTTGACCCATTTACATCAAATTTCTCACTAAGATATAATTTGTATGTTTTCTTAAAGATGTCTAATGAGACTGAATTTCTAGTCGAGTTGTCAAGTTATTCTATAGCATTACCCCCTTGTACTGAAAAGGTCCTGAGACCCATAGATGTTTTCCATTTTTTAGAAATGCATAAATTATCGTTATTGTACTATACTTAAATTTAATTACAAATTATGAAATTGATTTACTTGTATTGTTCCATACTATATAGCAATAGTCCGATAACGACTGGATAAATGTAAATGCAATGCTCTCCTGACGGAAATAGGTAAACAAAACTTTCATAATAACACCAATTATTATTTTTTTTTACAAAAGATATCTACATGATTGTTCCATGATGAGTTTATCTATTATCACTCGGAATGACTTTTCGAAACTGACTGTTTTATTTATTTCACTATTGAGGTTAAAGGGCGGTAATTGTCGCGCCACGCGTGCGCGAGATATGTGGGGTCTCATATAAACAAAGATGGCGACTTTGACTGTGGCGCAGATCAACGAGTACAAACTAAGACGTTACCAAGCTTTAATTAGGTAAGTTTTAGGAGATAGGAAGGTATCGAAGGAGTCACATGCGGTAGTTAGTGCAAGTAGCGCCCAGGTCAAACCTCATACTTGTGATTTAGAAGAGCGCATTGGATTGTGGAAAAATCAATGTTTATCAACACAAATGTCGTACATGCGCAGCGCGACTACCACCGTCCTTTAACTAAAAAATCTTCACTCGTATTAGACACTGTAGCAATTGCAATGACAGTACAGTTGTACCTTGTGAATCGCAAAAAATGTGTATGTGTGACATTGATCACTGTGGCTCGTTGACATGGGAGTGAGTATGTACCGGTAATAATCATTTCAATGCTGGTACATTGACACAAGTAGCCATCAGGTTTCAACTTCAAGTGAACGCTTAATACATTTTTTTGTTTTGTTTTTTGATGAAGATGAAATTCAGATATAATGAAGACGTATTTTCATTGACAACCATAAATATAGTGATTATATTCCAATGATATATCAAACTGAACTTAAAAAATAAGGAGACTAATGAAAAGGCTCTAGTCACTTTATTTTATATAGCCGTATATATATAAATTAACATGGAGCAGCCTTTTCACGCATTGATTGAACGCACATGCAACTAAGTACTCGCAAATAGAGATCCCTGGCTGTATGTTAAAATGCAGCCAGTTACGTAGTTAATACTATTATTATAAATCGTATATTTAGTCTTGTCTACATTTCACATTTGAAAAAGGTGAGTACATTTACAGTGAATTTTGTGCTTATTTTCAATGCCACCTTCTTAAATATCGCTTAGTACTATTGGCATGATGCCCTCACACATCGATAGCGTTCAGAGTTAACAGGGAGAGAGCAATAATTCATGATTGAGGGATATAACTATCACATATTTCCCATTTCAACGTTATTGTTGCATGTCTTTAACATGTTGACAGTGTTTATTGTATTAAATCAAATGAATTTAACATTTTGGAAAATATTTTGGAAACGTTATGTTGTGTGTATCGAATGAATGGGTGAATGGAAGTTTATTTCACTATAAAACATATATACAGGTGAGTAAGGTGAGTACATATATACAGGTGGAAAAGGTGAGTACATTTACAGTGAATTTTGTGCTTATTTTCAATGCCACCTTCTTAAATATCGCTTAGTACTATTGGCATGATGCCCTCACACATCGATAGCGTTCAGAGTTAACAGGGAGAGAGCAATAATTCATGATTGAGGGATATAACTATCACATATTTCCCATTTCAACGTTATTGTTGCATGTCTTTAACATGTTGACAGTGTTTATTGTATTAAATCAAATGAATTTAACATTTTGGAAAATATTTTGGAATGTTGTGTGTATCGAATGAATGGGTGAATGGAAGTTTATTTCACTATAAAACATATATACAGGTGAGTAAGGTGAGTACATATATACAGGTGGAAAAGGTGAGTACATTTACAGTGAATTTTGTGCTTATTTTCAATGCAACCTTCTTAAATATCGCACTATTGGCATGATGCCCTCACACATCGATAGCGTTCAGAGTTAACACGGAGAGAGCAATAATTCATGATTGGGGGATATAACTATCACATATTTCCCATTTCAACGTTATTGTCGCATGTCTTTAACATGTTGACAGTGTTTATTGTATTAATTCAAATGAATTTAACATTTTGGAAAATATTTTGGAATGTTGTGTGTATCGAATGAATGGGTGAATGGAAGTTTATTTCACTATAAAACATATATACAGATAATAACATACAAATGAATTTGATATATAAATAAACGAGTAAATAAAATTAGGTAAATAAGTGTATAATTTGAATTTTATTTATTTTTTTATTTATATAAATTGCGTTTAGATGATGTCACAATGCGCTGATATATATAATGTAATACGTAATATGTAAAAATAATTATTGACGTTTGGATATTATATTAATATATGTACGATTTCAAATTTCATCCGCCATATGTCACTAGTATGCATACAAATTAAATCCGCGAGTTTTTATTGTTCCCCACGTAAATGTATACATTAGTTGCCGTTATAATACTGGTCACATGATCATATTATTTTCTATGATTTTATTGTGTCGTATTTTGTCAATACAAATAATTTTCTGATCTGTAGAAAAAGACATCAAGTTTTTGAGTAAATTGCTGTTCAAGTTCGATATGTGTACCGATGTCCGACGCATAGTTCAGAACAAATAATGTCCACGTTTCTCTAAGATAAAGTTGAAAGACAGACAAGAAAAAGCATCATTCGAATGCAGGTATGTACAACCCTGAATATGAAAAAACACCGGGTGAAAAGTATTTCTGCAGGACACATATTCAAAAATCAAGTACATAAAAATCCAATCGACGCGCTGGGACACTTGATTGAATGAGTTCGGCTTTAAATTAATTTGATGTGTACAAACATAAAATTAATATTAGTATGTGTAGAATCTAGTATTTAATACACAAGTGAAACATTTTTTACCCTGCTTTTTACACTTCAATGGTGTAATATGCTCACCTGGACCTGGACCAGAAATCAGGTAGACTGTGAGATTGACTTTTTAACATCAATTCCTAACATTTTTGTCGAGTGTAGCCATGTTGTGTTGGTTCATTTTGATTTTTCGACACTTCAGTTATGATTTGTTTCACAGACACAGTGATGAATGGTTGTATGCCGTCGTCAATAGTGGGAGGTAAAGTGGTTATACTCGTTCTGGCAGGCTTCACATGTCTGGTGACCTATTTACTAATTAACCCACACGGTGAGCTCCGTCTAACAATGTCGACAATTTTTCTCGCATTGTAATTCATATCAAAATACAAACTTTCATCTACAAAATTATCATTTAATTGTATGGAAAATAGTGAACTTGATAAGTGATAATGATGAATGTTTAAATGAATTTAGCTTATAAAAAGCTAATACATTTACATTGTAATCAAATACATATCATGTGGCCATAATCAGTGATAATTCATCGATTAATATCATGTGAAATTGTATGTATGCATTACCTGTACCTCTTGTGACGTATTACACGCAGCCGAAATTTGTATAGGTTTATTTTTCTGTAGGATATCTGATAGACCAGATTTCACCAGCATTGAAGTCAATGTCAGTACCTTTGGCAGATTCCTTACAAAATTCCACGTCATTTTTACGACCCAAGGTGCCATCTATGAAACAAGACAAAGGCATTTCAGTCTCTCATAAAGTCGTATACGAAGTCCAAGAGTATAGAAAATCAGTTATAAACAATGAATGTGCCAACGCAAGACGGAAGGGCGTTAATTTTCAAATGAGTAGAAGATCACCAATATACAACGACGATTACAAATTTATATTTTG